TCTTTAATTTTGTTACTTTCAGAAAATTCTATAGATAGAATAATATTGCATGGAATTTTTTGAGATTGCCTTTGAGGTCCATCCAAGTGTGTTCTTTTGTATTGCTGAGTATTAGCCCACCATGTGGATGAATTGCGTTCTGTTTAGCAACTTACATTAAGATTGTGAGCTGTTTTTATTTTGGTACTATTATAAATATCCTCTCAACTTTCACATATAGGATTTTGTGGTAATGTATGTTTTTATATCATTAGGATAAATACTCAGAAGAACTTTGATTAGGCTGGGTCACATGCTAAATGTATGTTTAATTTCCTAAGAAATCTCTCAGGTTGTTTTCAGAGTGTCTGTACTATTTTACATTCCTACCAGAAATGTTTGAGAGATCCTGGTGCTATGTATCCTTCTTGCACTTGCTATGGTCACTATTTTTTTTTTTTTTTGTACTGGGGTTTGAACTCAGGACCTTGTATTTTCAAGGCAGGCACTGAGCTAAATCACTGGCCCTGTCACTATTTTTTGAGACAGCCTAACAGGTGTGAATATCTACTGCAATTTTTGGAAAAATGTGCTGAGCAGTATTGCTTCTTCTTCACCCCCTTTGTGTAATGCACTGCTGTGTGGCTGGGAAATAAATGGAAGAAATGACCTGGGAGCCCAGTATCTACTTAGGTGTCATCACTGCTTGAACTATGACCATTTCTAAGAACAACCTGTGATCCTCTAGTCTTTGCACTGAACAATGCTAATTTATTTGAGTTTCCCAAAGTTGACTTTGATGAACATGTGAAGATGTTAAACTTATAAAACAAGCATTAAAACTAAATTTTTTCACAAAAATTAATTGGTACAGTTTTAGAGGCTCTTTTGTAAATTGCTGCTTTTGCTCAAAAGATGGTTTTGTGAGTCAATGATTTTGCTAGTGAGATGGCATAGAGGACTTCAGTGTTTTGCTGTAAACTCTGATTTGGTTGTACTTGGAATTCTGTGGAGTTGAAAATTTTTTACTGTGTTTGTATCTTATCTGAAGTCTGCTCTTTTAGAAACTGCACCTGCTACTTCACTGCATCCAAGAAAATTCTTAACTCTATTTTCTTCAACATCTCCATTTCTGTTTTTAGAAATTCATCCGTGGACTGGTACATTTTCAAAAACTCAAATTGCATGTAATCTCAATTCTGATCAGATAGTAACAGCTGCAAATTGAAATTGAAATCAAACTGATGAAAAAAATACAAATTTTAAAAACTCTTTTACCAAAGAGTAGACTTTCACTACCTCAGTTTTGAGATTAAATGATATTAAATGATTCAGGTGGGAATGAAAGTTACATCACACAATTATGTATTATAAGGCACTATAACTAAATATCCCCCAATAATTTCATGTACATCAATAACATATTTTTTAGCTAGGGAATAATTTGTGTTTTGTTCCTCATTGAGTTTATTGGTACATTTTAGGTCTACAGTACAGTTACATTCATTATTAGGATCTTGTACCTTTACATGACAGGTCTTGGTTCTCATTTTTTCCCCTTGCCCCTGCCCTCCCTTCACCCCCTTCTCCCCTCCCCATTTACAAACATTTTATTTCCATTTTCTCCTAATTTTTTTCTTTCCCTTATTACCTTTCCCCTACCCTTCCCACTTTCCCTACACCTTTAGTCCTTTTCTTCCCATTTCACATTGTCAGTTATCTCATTAGGATCTTATGTACTATTATAGTTTATTCACACCAGAGAAACTATTTGGTATTTACACATGTGTGACTTATTTATTTCACTTAGGAGTATATCCTCAATATATATCCATTTTCCTGTGAATGAATCTAATTTCTCATTCTTTATGGCTGAATAGTATTCCATTGTATAGAAAACTACATCTTCTTTATCCAGTTTCCAACTGATGGGCAAATGGGCTGTTTCCAAGTTTCAGCTATTACAAACTATGCTGCTATAAACATAGGTGTGCATATATCATTGTAACATGATTCTTTTGGAAAGATAATTTATTTTTTAGTTAAAGAAATACATTCCAATGTTTGGATTCATATTTTGAGGAATATTATTTTTAAGTGAAAAAATAAAATTCAGAGCACAGCCTAGTGATAGATTACTAAAAACAGCCATATCACATCAAACAAATTTATAGGGATATAATTTATGCAATTTAAGGTGATATCAATATTAGAAATAAAGTAATACTGTAGCATATTCTAGGGGAAGGCAGCAGATGCAATTTCTCAAGGGTATTACTTCACTTGTTGTAATGTAATATGTTGTTATACTTTTGTTTTTCCATATTCATGCCAATAGTTAATGATCACACCAATTATCATAATTACATCATTGTTGAAGTCTAATAGCAATTCTCCCACCCATCCGCCATTTTCCAGAAGTGTCTCAGTTATGTTTGTCTCTTTGCTACTCTGCTTGAACTTCAGGATTGTTAAATAAAAATCCTTGAGATTTTAACTGGAATTAAATGGAATGTATAGGTTAATTTGAAAAGGATGGATATTTCTACATTTGGTTGTCCTATCCATGAATGTGGTATAACTTTTCCATTTATGTAGGTTTTTGTGGTGTGGTACTTTAGTTTCTAGAATCCCCAAACTATCATATATGTTTTCTTTTTGTTTTTTGACTACCCTTCACTGCTGCCTGGAAAATTTTCACTTAGCCTTGAAGTCTTAGCTCATATGCCAGCTCCTTTGTGAAGCCTCCCCCACTGCTTTAGTCAGACTTGGAGGATCCGTCTTGCAAGGCCCTTGTCACCCAGAGTATGATGCATATTATTGCAAGAGAAAATCTTCACTTATTGCTGACTAAATACCAGAGCACTGATCAGCATTCTTTAAGTAATAATAGCTCATATAGATGTCAAATGTGCCAAGTTTGTGGCCCCACAATATCGAGGAATGCAGTCATGAACCAAAGGAAGAAGATAGGAAAGTTTTACTGGACATAGGAGAGAGGACTAGCTCCTGGATTTCCAGAAGGGGTCTGGAATGGAGTGTCCACCGAGGACCTTTGTTGAGGTAACTTATATAGCCAAGTCACAACGTGGACACAACATAGGTCAAACTACAAGTATAATCACTTGGTTATAGGGTTACAAGTGTAGCCAGTTGGCTAATATTATCCACTAGGGAAACAAGTTGCATAGCAAGGGTATATTGAAAGAACAGAGGTGTTTTGGGGAAGGGATGGGTCTAGATACTCTGGTCTCCCTCCTGGGTGACCAATGCCTAGCTGGACTTACTGGATCAGATGGTGCTAATTATAATCTCAAGTGATTGTTTATCCCTTAGGGAGCAATGTAGGCCTGGCCATTGCACCTCTATCTTGAGGCCTGGTCTTCTTCAGATGCACCTCCAGCCACAATTCTGATATCTACATTTTTTCTGCTGACTTCTTTGAAGGCTCAATCCATCTCTGACTGTAGATTAATTTCTAACTCAGCTGTCCATAATCGTGGTGGTGGTGGAGGTATTGGTTCGAGGACTCCCAGGAACACCAAAATCGGTGGGTGTCCAAGTCCCTTATAAAATGCAGTTTTGCATATAACCTATGCATTCCCCCCCACAGTTAATCTCTAGGTTACTTGTACCTAATGCAATATAAATACTATGTAAATAGTTGCTACACTTTATTGTGTAGGGGATAATAAGAAAAAAGTCTGTATGTGTTCAGTGCAGAAGTAACTGTGTCAGCAACGAGGTAACATTTTGATGGGCAGGAGGGCTGACTGTGTGGAAATTTGGGATGTGGCATGTGGCATATAATCACTAAGAAGCAGGCTATGGTTACACCATGTGCCTAAGACTTCTCAAAATAAAGTTGTGGAATAAGACAGGCAAACAGATACAAGGTAGAAAGAAGAAAGTGACAGGCGACCTGACAGTGCTTCGACATCCCTCTGTCTCTAGGGCCTCAGCTAAGACTCAGCAGAGAACAGGTGCTCAGTACAGGTGTGGCTGCTGGGATGAATGAATAGTGGCCATAAATGAACGAATGAATGGCTTTCTCCGTGTAGTCTTGGTAATGTCCCCCCCCCACCCGCAGACTCCTATTCTGCTCCCCAGAATGGCCCTAGCGACTTGGTTAGAGCCCAGAGCAGCAGAGTGCGGCTGCCAGGAGGGGGCAGGCTGCGCGCGTGTCCGTGGGAGGGCGAAAGTCATTCAGACTGGAGGACAGTGGCCTCTCCTCCCTGGGGTCCCCGGAGAACTCCTGGGGTGCGCTGGGAGGGAGCAGGAGCGAGTCCTGTGTCTGGAATAAGGCGAACGCGGCGGAGAAGGCAGACCGGCCCCGGGGAAGAGGAGTCACAGCTTCTCCGAGGGTCCTCCCGGGGTGGTGAGGGGCACACGTAAGAGGATGAAAAGCAGAGAGGTTCGGGAGATGGAACTGAGACACTCAGAGGCCGGTGGACGCCTTCTCCCAGGACCCCTCCAGAGCCAGGGAAAGAGCAGATGAGGATGCGGGTGGGGTCCGCACGCCAAAGCTGGCACAGCCAACGACTCCCAGGTCTCGCTTGGAAGCCCGAATGCTCCTGTGTCTCTGGCAGTTCAGGAAAGGCTTGGAGTTCTAAGGGGCCAGGAGTCCAGGCCCTCCCCAGAGAGAGGGCTGCCCCAAGCATCGGAGTCCGCAAACGCCTCCCTTCGCCGCGGGGTGGCGGAGTCGGGGGCA